TTTTTTTTTTTTTAATTTGGCTATGTCTGAGCAGGCAGGCTGTGTGTTCTTTGTTGTTTACTCATCTGTGGCCATGATACTTTTCACCTCCTTCTCCAATTGGCAGGGTCAGTCGCTCAGATATGGTGCAGCAGGGCAGGTCTAGCTGAAGAGGAGTTGCTGGGATGAGTTGTTTGTGGCACTTACTACAGCCACCAGGGCGGGCCGGTAATTAGTGCGGGGCAGGTTCCAGTAGGCTGTGCCTGTGCTGCTTGGTGGTGTGATGTTAAGCGCACGGTGCAGATAGGCAGGATGGAGTGGGAAGATTGTGATGTGTTGAGCTAAGATGGGTATGGGAGGGAGGAGAGAGGAACAGGGGCCAAAGACATACAGACAGACAAAAAAAGAGTGCTAGGGGAGCTTGCTGTTGGAGTGGAAAGATGAGAGACTATGAAATGGAGAAAAACAAAAAAGGGAAGAAGAAGAAAATAAAAGAATGAATAAATAAAAATTAGAAAGAAAAAAGACAAGCAAAGCTTCCAGGGATCCCACCCATTCTGCTACGAGGTCTGGGGAAGTTGTTCCCAGGTGTTGAAGTACAGCCTGGCTAGAAGGCATAGAGGTGTCACTCAGCCCCAGGTATTCAGGGGACAGGAAGAGAAGGAAGGTATAGAGAGACAAGAAAATGAGTAATGAAGAAAGACAAAAAAGGAAAAAGAGGGAAAACAAAGCAAACAAATTTAAAAAAAAGAACAAGAAAAACCCCCAAAAAAACAGAAAAAAAAAAAATCTACGAGAAAAGAAATGCTCTCAGGGATCCCTCTGCGCGTCTGTGCAAGCTGAGGGGGTAGGTCACAAGCCGCGCAGTACTGCCTGGCTAGAACAGGCTCCCAATTTGAAAAAAGAAAAAGAAAACAAACTATTCAAAACAAACAAACAAAAGCCCCAGGATCCCACCAGCATGGCAGCACAAACCAGTAAGCAGTTTCACAGCCTTTTAGGAAGAAGCAAAGATGGCACACCGTGCTAGGTATTTGAGCGAAAGGAGGGGGAGGTGGTGAGAGGTAAGGAAGAAATCAAAAGAAGTGGAAAAAAGCAACACCAGCAGCCAGCAAATGGCACTGAGGGAGTTGGCCAGTGCAGGCAGGTGGAATACAAGGAGCCAGTGCTTCCGGGCCAAGAGACTGTGGCCGCGGGAAGCATAGGAGGCCAAGTGGGGGTGAAGAAGGGGGGGGGGGGGGAAAGCATATATTGCTGGTTACTGGTTATTCTGTCTCCTGCTGGAAGCTCCGTGAAGCTGCTTTCTTGTACCCCTGTTGGTTGGTCTCTAATAGGAGTCCAGGATGGCGGATCTGTGCTGTGTTAGCTGATAGGGGACCTCCGCATGTATGTCTTCTCGTTCTCTGTTCTCTGTCAGTTTCTTATTCCATTTGGTGCTTGGCTGAGTTCTTTATCTCTTCATTTGATGCCTAGGGTTTCAGGATTGCTGTTTTCTCTGTTTGGCTTAGTTTTTCGGATCTTTGCTGTGGAGGGACGGTGTGGTGCTTCTGCCTAGAGTGCTGTGTTGCCGGCTTGTGTGTTTAGTTTTGATGAACAATAGCAGTTCTCAAAGTGCAGTCTGAGTCCGTTTCAGGGGACCAAAGAGTCCTGCCTTCCCCAGCTATGTGTCTGTGTAAGGCTTGATTTTCTTCATCTGTTCCAACCTAAGCATTATATTATAGCAAATAATGCTTTTAAGAGTGTAAAAGGGCATCCTGAGACCAGAAAGTTCCTTGACAATTCTAAAGTTCAGCAAAAATAGCCATATAAAAATGTGGTATTTCACTAATTGTCAGAAACCTTACAACTTGACCATTTGTCTCTACCCAGGTTCTTTAGTAATCGAAGATAAGGAGAGCCAGCCACAAATGCCTAAGCAGAGTCCTGTCGTGGAGCAGAATCCACAGCCACCAGGTGGTTTATCTTCAAACCAGTTATCCAAGTTCCCAACACAGATCAGCCTAGCTCAGTTACGACTCCAGCATATGCAGCAACAGGTAATGGCTCAGAGGCAACAGGTGCAACGGAGGCCAGCACCTGTGGGTTTACCAAACCCTAGAATGCAGGGGCCCATCCAGCAACCCTCCATCTCTCATCAGGTAAATTTGGAAGCAGGCCTGTCCTAACTTAGATAATTACGGTACAATTGTGTTCAGCAGCTCCTGACGTAACCAAGATAGCCACCATCCAGGATTGAAAAATCAGTTTGTAAAAATTGATCACATTCCAGATCTCTGATTCGACTCCTACTTTTAGCCCTTCTCACAAAGGATTTTGTGTTTTATTTAACTGGTGCCTGTGTTTCCATCTCGTCTTCATTGCCCTCAATTATAGCTGGGGTTGAATGTTTGTATTCCTCAATAGCCCATGCCTGTGACTAACAGGAAAATTGGGGTCCCTGCAACTCACAATTCCCATTGTAGTGCTTCAGAATGACTAAGAGTTGCTGTGGGTTCCCACTAGGGGTGCTCTGTGTAACCACATTGCATCTTAGGAGCTAGGCAAGATGAAATAGAAAAGGCCAGGAGTGTGGTGCTTTTAGCAGTCTACCTCTTCTGAGCAAATGTTCCCTGGACCATTTTGCTTTTTACTAAATGTGAAATATCTTGTTAACTTTAATCCAATTTTTGAAGATAAAAGGCTTATATACTTTTGTTAACTAGTTTAAGAGTCCCACTCAGAAATAGGCATGTTGTTGTTGTGTGCCATTGGGTCGATTTTCGACTCATAGTGACCCCAGGTAACAGAGTAGAACTGCCCCGTAGTGTTTTCCTAATCTTTATGGGAGCAGATCATCATCAGGCCTTTTCTCTCGCAGAACCACTGGATGGGTTCTAGCCCGCCAACCCTTTGACCAGCAGCTGAGCACTTAGCCATTGCACCACGAGGGCTCTTTTTAGATGTAGGCATACTTAAGTGTAATAAAGGTTTAGTAAAGTGTATAAAGTCTAATTAAATAAATCGTTATTTTAGTTACATTTATTTATTAATTTATACTTTCCTGTTTGAGAATGATTTAAAGTTGTTTACCGTAAATGGGACAAACGAAATGGGGTGGGGTTTAATAATAGAGTCAAATAATCAAAGTATACAGACCTAGGCTTAGGATTCTCTTTTTAGTTAAGAACTATAAAAATTCACTGTCAACTAAAGCAAAAAGGAGATACATTGAGTTGTATAGATATTACTTTCTAATAAAAAGGAGACATGCCAGTTAATTAGGGGAGAAACTTTTTTACTAGTATTTTACTAGCACTAAGAGGAGTATATAATGCAGTTCTTTATGAAAAATCAATTAAATGACATAATAGCATTTTTATAGCAGTTTTACAAAACATGGAAATGGTCTTCATAAGACTCTTACTTCAACCCTCAGTAAAAGCTCCCAATGTTGTTAAGTCATGTCTGTGAACACCTGAGGTAATGTATTTGAGGGTCATGGCTTTCCAGCAGTCTGATGACAAAGGCATTTGAGAAGGGGCTATTAGCACACCACACAGGTTATTCCTTTCGAACTTCATTTCCATCCAGGTTTTTACAGGAAGTAAATAGCGAGCCGTCTAAGATGTCTTTGGTGAGCGTTTTGTGGGGGAGGGGGGCATACTTTAGACTTTAGATACCGGGAGTGCAACTGGCAGAGCCAGAATTTTAAGAAAATTGAAGAATAGTGTATTCTCGTAACTACCTTTGTAGACTGCAAAGAGTAATTTTTCTGAAGATAGATGTGAAGAAGAGAAAGAAATAATTAATATTTGTTGAGTGCCCTAGTGCTAAGCTAAGCATTGGCATGTATTAATATTTATCTTAAGTGTCTGAGAGATGACAAAGTGATTTTTACTTAGTAGCTTATTAACCAGCAAGGGATGAATCCATCATTTGTGTTAAGTGCCTGTTCACTTAGAAATGAGGAAGCAGAGGCAGTTGATAGATAGATACTATGTGACTTGGTCAGATTCTCATAGTTCTTTACATAAGCAGTGACAAAGTGAAAGTCACTGCTTTTCTCAGAAATATGCTTGCTTTTGACCTTATTCCAGTCTCCGGGGTTTAGTACTGTAATCTACATAATGTATACAATATCTATTATATAGTCTAACTTTCCCACTTAGAAGTGATTTTTGCATCTTGTGGTCATTCCCTCACATACTGTACTTTTTCTGTCTCCTCGATCTGACTCCTGGACCCACTTTCACACTCTTGATCTCTCCTTTTCATCTGCTCTCTGCCAAATACCCACTCAGACGTTTTTCACCCCTGAATGTGCCCTCTTCTATCAACTTTACTGTGTCCTGCCCACCTGCATTGAGTTTCCCACCGGTTTATGTGCACATGCATATGGAGAAATGCCTGTCTGTGGGTGGGTGTGTGTGTTTGCATCTGACTTTGTGGACAGGTACAAATACACTCTACATCTCCATAGGACACAGATACATTTAAAGGACTGTTCTAAAAATCACTCATGATAGTCTTCTTCCTCCTCTGAAGGGCTGACTACTCTGTGTGGTTATAGAGTTGGGCAGTAACAGAGGCAGAATGCTTGCTTCTGTGATTGAGTGCACACACGTGGTAGATGATGTGCATCTCTGTTTATTTAGCAGTAGACAGCACACCCTGTCATTGGCAGCACTGCATTACAGAGCATCGTCACACAGACCATTGGATACACGGCTCCCAACAGACGGTGCTCCCTGTCACAGGCAGGGCTGTGTTACAGAACATTGTCACACAGACCATTGTATACGCAGCTCCCGGCAGACAGTGCTCCCTGTCATAGGCAGGGCTGCATTACAGAGCACCGTCACACAGACCATTGTATACACGCCTCCCGGCAGACGGTGCTCCCTGTCATAGGCAGGGCTGCGTCACAGAGCACCGTCCCACAGACCATTGTATACACGGCTCCCGGCAGCGGTTCTCGCTGTGGAGGTATTCACACGTGCATGGGAATTTCCCTGGACAGTGGATAGATTTTGGAGGACATCTCCTGTCCTTTGTGGTTGTCACACAGTGGTTGGGATCTTCTGAGCTCGAATCAAGTCAAACTTGTAATTATAAAGAAGGACCAGGAGTGCTGATGAGGATGATGAGACTTCACATCGATTTGCTTCAGCTCACAGTTATTTGTCTGTTCTCTCCCTTTTTTCCTTCTGCATCTTGCAAATTAATTGATTCCATTTAATCAAAATAGCACTAGTTTTGCTGTTTCTTTTAGGCTGCTAACTGGATCACCATCTTATCCTTCCCAGTTACTTCCCTTATCATAGGGGTTCTTAGAAATTAACTCGGTCAGCTATACCTGTTTAGGAGAGAAGCAGTATCACCTTACATTTTACCAGGCTGTTAACACCTTGCTGGCGGGGCCCACATCTGGTCCCCCCCCATTTTACACACCGTTGCACGTTGTTATGGCACCAAGTGCTGTTTCCTGACTGAGTCAGTACCTGAGCCTCACCCTGGTGGAGGTGTGAGGGTAGACTAGGCAGAGACGCGGGTAGTTGTCTGTGCTGTCCTTCAGGACCACTGTGGGTGCTCGTCCACTCTTTTTTCAGTGTATCCCTAAGAAAAATTCACAGGTTTTCCATTCTTTCCATTTTGTTTCTATTATTTCTATGATATAACATCCTTTAAGTCACACAACTTTTATAGTAGAATCAAAAAGAATTGCTATGGCTTCAGGCTTATGCTTCTGTGAAGTTTTAGAATTTTCTCTTATTACTTTTCTCTGATACTGTTTTTATAGTCTTCACCCACCAAATTTCACTTGGTCTAGAGACAGTACGTACATCTGCTTCTATTGGTCTATAATTGCTGGCCACTCATGAAAGTTACTGAGTGTGAAACCAAGCAAAAAAAAAAAAAAACAAACCTGTTGTCGAGTCGACTCTGACTCGTAGTGACTCTATAGGACAGAGTAGAACTGCCCCATAGGGTTTCCAAGGCTGTAAATCTTTACAGAACCAGACTGCCACATCTTTCTCCCACGGAGTGACTGGTGGGTTCGAACTGCCAGCCTTTCAGTTGGCAGCCAAGCACTTAACTATTGCACCACCAGGGCTCCTAGAGTAAACCCAGTGCCAACTCATTTGTAAGACAGGGAAAAAAGAAGCTATTGACCCAGGTCAAGAGAGTAAATTCCCAAAATGGGAAGAGGAAGGAAAGTGGGGGACACGGCTGCACCTTACAGCTATCTGCCTTCACTGTGTCCCTGTTCAGGTGTTTGTGACTTCCATTTTAGATTCCTCATTTGGGAGGAAACAGTTGTCTCTCTCAGAAGTTATGATCATATGTACTGAAACGGACTGTTTCCTTTACAATAAATTGCCAGCCACGAAAGGAACTGGAGGAGACTGGCATTCAGTGTTCCCTTTTTCTAAAACACTGGTCTTAGTTTCTTGGGCTGGCTTCTGTGAGCAGACCAGGTAGACTTGCCTGCCTAGCCCTTGCTTGCCCCAGGTTTGACTCCCACATTCAACCCTGATCTTCTGTAATCAACCAGTGTTGTTCTTGGAGGGTTCCTTTTCAAAATCTGTTTTCTTTCGGGAGACTCATCCGCTGAACTATAGTCAGCACCTTAATCAGTAGCCGACTAAACGCCAGCACAAACTGTGGTAATGATGTGGCAGCCTGGACTGGAATTACAGCCTTGGTGTAGTGCCTTTTACTAGCTGTGTGACTGTTTTCACTGTCTAAGCTCTCTTATCTTTAGTTTCCTGATAATAATAGATCAGGATAATAATGTCTACTTCATAGTGCTAAATGAGATAATACATGTAAAATGCTAATCACAACGCATGGAATATAGCTAGATCACATTAAGATTTAAAACTCATTATTTTTTAGTGTTGTTAATATCAACTCTATTCATGATTAATGAGATGTTGGTTAATTAAGAGTGCAGACTTTGCAGCCAGACTGCTTCAGTTCAAATCCCAGCTCTGTTGGCTACTATCTTTATTAATCTTGGTCAAGTTACTCAAATTATCTATACCGTAGATTCATTCCTTCTCTGTAAAATGGAGAGAATAATCCCCACCTCATGGGATTGTTGTTAAGATTAAATAGGTTTATGCGTGTGAAGCACTGAAAGCAGTACCTGGCATTTGGTAACTGCCCAATAAATGCTAGCAGTTGTTATTCTGCTTTAACTGTGTTAGGAGGTTTGAAGAGGGTCACCTCAAGGATTTAGAAGGATACATACCAGAGACAAGTTTTACCTACTTCCCAGCATGGCCTAGGTCCAGTCCTGGTGGTATTGTTAGGTGCCATTGAGTCAGTCCCAACTCATTGACCCCACGTGACCGAGCAGAACTGCCACATAGGGGTTTCTAAAGGCTGTAGTCTTTACCAGAGCAGGTCGCCAGATCTTCCTCCTGTGGAGCCACTGGGCGGGTTTGAATTGCCAGCCTTTCAGTTAGCAGCCAAGCACGTAACAGTTGTGCCACCAGGGCTCCTTCCAATCCTGGTACAACCTGCTTATCTTTAGTTAGCAATTGCTTTCCCAAGGCTTTTTCCTAAGAAAACTTTTCTTTAATTGCTTATGCAAATTTTGGAAGTCTGTGCTCTCCTGCCTCCCCAGTACCACTGTTGTAATGTTAATAAATGACTCATCTGTGACAGAGCTGATGTCTTTCTGTCTAAGTTTATAAAATAGAGTTCTCTGTAATCTGTCTTTCAGGAGATAATTGTTAACAGATTGGTTTAATCTCTCTTTTCCAGCAACCCCCTCCGCGTTTGATAAATTTTCAGAATCACAGCCCCAAACCCAATGGACCAGTCCTTGCCCCTCATCCTCAACAGCTGAGGTATCCACCAAGTCAGAGCCTCCCACGGCCAGTGGTAAAGCCCAACCCCCTGCAGATGGCCTTCCTGGCACAGCAAGCCATAAAGCAGGTGTGTGTCTGCCTCCTCCCCTCAGGTGCTTTTCCTCCCGCTCTCTACCTCCAGGCCCCGCGAAGGTGAAAGGTGAAGCAGCAGGTTAGCAAGAGCACAACAAGCTTTTTTAGTTATTATTTTTAATGAAAGTTACTTTCAAGGTTTATTACAGACGGACCTATAGAGACAAAGTTAAGAGAAGGGTCCTGGTGCTTTGTGACTGACTCGGGAGATCAAGCCACTTCTGTTGGTATGACAGCACCGCATTATCAGTGAGTCATAGGGATTGAGTTAATTTTTGCCATAGTGGTGTGTAACTTTTAGGTGAGTTCATTAAATTTCCCAAGATGGCAGTATCCTAACAAATACAGCTTCCAGTTTCCTGAAATACACATAGAAAAAGCATAGCTTTGGATTACAGGTTACATTCCACAGAAGAGAACAAGAAATACATCTTTGAAGTATTTTAAGGAGGCTTTTTGGAAACAAACTATGACACAATTTTCAATATGAAGCATAGATAAACCTGATAAGGTTTAATATTTATATTCTCGATGTCCTCAGGTAAACAATGTCCTAGATTTTATATTATCTTTAAAAAGGTAAAAGTTATCTCAGTGCTCTGTCTTTGTAAATTACACACACATAATTTAAAGCATTGTATTTTTCTATAAAACTTGCTGCTGATAGACACCCTTTCTCTTCCCTCCTTGCTGCCACAGTGGCAGATCAGCAGTGGGCAGGCTGCCCCATCAGCTGCCACCAGCACGTCCTCTACCCCATCCAGCCCCACCATCACCAGCGCAGCAGGCTACGACGGAAAGGCTTTTGGCTCCTCTATGATCGATTTGAGTTCACCAGTGGGAGGGTCTTACAATCTTCCTTCTCTTCCCGATGTAAGTATATGCAAAATGTCAACTAGCAATTTCCTTTGAGAATTGTGAGTGAATTTGGATCTGGTACAAGGAGTGGTTGTGCTGGATTACAGGACAGAGACTCAAGCATAGTGCAGAGTATTTCCCAGGGCACCAGAGTTCAAAGTGTTTGTAACTGAATGACGATAATGATGGGCTGTGGAAGCTAAGCTGAGAAAGGGGGAAAGTGAGGCCAGGGGAGGAAGTACTGGACAGCTGAACTGGTGAGATGTGATATGTTAGAATAAGCTTAGGGAGACTTGAAATTAAGGTATCAGGAGAAAAGGAGGCAAGTTCAGTAACAGAAATCAGAACATTTTTCTGCGAGGTCATGCTGACCAGTACAAAATTATCTCTGATTTATTTTACTCACTCTCCAAATCCTAACTATGTTGGTGTAACTTTTTTTTTTTTTAACTTTTCCAAAGGCAGAAAAATACAACATTCTATAGACAGATCTCCATACATAAGTTGACACTTGTTTTACCTTTTCTTATCCTGTAAGGTTAGGTAAATACACATGCACAACCAAACATAAAAACTTATCAAGAAACATCTCGTATACTTTACTTGAATGGTATGACCTATAAGATTGTCAAAGAATGTTTTTATTTACTTTAAAAATAGTTTGTTTTTCAGGTTACTGAGATAAACTAGTATTTCCTAATAGTTGCATTGTAGCCTTTTCAGATTTAGTTTCCATTTTACCGTTTTATAAATTTTAAATGGGTAGAGTACATGGATTTTTTCATGCATAGGTGGCACATAGGAAAACTTGTCTCATCCCTACAATTTTATTTTATGATTAGTTCCATAACATAAATAATTTTCCTCAAATCCAGTTATTCCAGTACGTTTTATACTCTCTGGAAAATATTGGAGAAGATAATTGGTGGTAAACCCAAAAGAATATTAAAATGTAAATGACCCTGTGTACTACCCCACAGAATAAAAGGAGGACCACAGAGAGCAAACTTTTTCTGCTTTTCTCACCCGAAATTCCTCATCTGAACCACAGAATACAGAGAATGGTTTGAGTGACTGCTCGGTCCTCCCGGGAGCGGTCATGGCCAGCGGACGCTAGATGGCAGACAGGTGGACTCTCGCGGAGCCCTGGCTGAGACCGGCTGGGGCTGTGTTAGCAGGGAATTGAGCTGGGTTTTAATCACATTGGAGAAAGGCTGGAACTGTGTTATGCAAGAATTGTGCTGGATTTTAGTTACAGAGATATTCTTCGGCAATTTGATGCATTTAAGGCATGAAAACATATTTGCCTCTAAAGCATTAAACTCTTAGTCAGTAGAAATATATCAGTATTCTAGCCTGGCCATGAATTAGGAAAGAAGTGTGGTCTATGTACTTGTTACATTAAAGCAAGAATCTATAAGAAATCAATGTTTTTTCTACCGAACGACAGTGATGAGCTTAGCGTCCTAGGAGTTTGTTACGCATGGATTTACTGCATTGATCTAGTGCCTACCCAAAGCATCAGTTCTTCAAGTGCAGACCAAGGGCCTGGGGAGCCCCTCAGACCCTTTCTGAGGCCCTTTCCAGGGCCTCCCGGTGTGAGGCCAGAGTGTCTTCACAATCTGCAACCAGAACGACATATGGCCAGAGATGGAGCACAGAAGCAGAGAGGGTCCCAGCTGGCTGCTGCAGGGCCAGACACTACGGAAAACATAAAACAGAGCTACTCTGCTCCCCGAGCTTTTTTTTTTTTTTTAATTTGTTTGTTTAAATATAGCTATTTTTTTTTGTGTGTGTTATTTTTAAACAAGTTAATGATATTTTAAATTAGAGTTTTAGTTTTTATGAGTTTGAATAGGGTTCTAGACCCAAAGCTTGAGAACCACAGGCCTAAATGTTGAAAGTAACTTGTTTGTATTTGTTTTGTTTTGTTGTGGGTGAGAAGAAATACTCAAAATTCAAACTAAAGAGGTTTTTTTTTGTTGTTTTTTTTTTTTTTTGGTAAAGATTATCATCATTTTTTCAACCTGTTTTTAGTGACCTTTTGGGACTAGCCCCAGTTAACTAAGCAAACTTGTTTGACAGGCAGCCTCTGGTCTCCTGTGGTGTGTCCTGGGTCCGTTTACTAAGGTGGAACATTAAGAAGAGTGAGACCATTGGTCCACGGTTGTTTATGGGGAAAATATGCACCAGAACTTCTTAGACGTGAGCCCTGGAGGTGCAGTGGTTAAGAGCTCCGCTGCTAACCAGAAAGTCAGCAGTTTGGATCTACCAGCTGCTCCTTTGGAAAACCCTACAGGGCAGTTCTACTCTGTCCTATAGAGTCACTAGGAGTCGGAATCGACTCAACGGCAGCGGGTTTGGTTTTTGGTTTTGATAGTAGTTGGTATTAATTAAGTTATTCAAGTCTCATAAATTTAAAGTAGCTTTTCACTTGCAAAGTCAGGATACCCTGAAATAACTTCTTTTCTTGTAAGATTGACTGTTCGAGTACTATTATGCTGGACAATCTCATGAGGAAAGATCCCAACATAGATCACGGCCAGCCAAGACCACCCTCAAACCGAACCGTGCAGTCACCAAACTCCTCCGTGCCGTCCCCTGGCCTCGCAGGTAGAGTGGGTGCCGTTTGATTTTATGAATATTTCTCTAGTTTCTGCTCTACAAGTTGGAAGCAAATGTTCAACTTCTTCACCTTTTCAGTTTCAGCAGAACTTACAGGCATCAAAGCACTCCTGGGAGGAAATTAGCTTACTCTTCTGCTTTCTCTTTCTTGTAAGTTTCCTGTGATGTGGTCTGTCTCTGGGTATAGTTTACCTGGAGTCAAAATTTATTCACGCCAGAACACAGGGAGGTCACTCTTTTGGTGGTTTGTTTCGCGCTTGATTGTGTTTAAGAACTTCTAGCATACTTGACTCATTTCCTCTGCGAGAGAAGCACTCTGAGGCTGCTCCTGGTGATCTTAGAACCACAGGTGCCTTAGATCAAAATAAGGAAAAAGGAGAATTTCTTACATCAGAATTATAAAGAAGATGCTTATTTTTAAAATAAACAGAATTTTTAAAGCTCAGTCTGTTTTAGTAGTCATAAAAAAAGAAAGTCAAAACCAGATATATTTTCCGACTCTCAGATTAACAGAGATTTAAAAAGTGAAAATAGTCTGTGACGATGTGATGAGAGAGGTCCTCTCGTCCATAGCTGGCAGGAGTATAGCTCACTCAGCAAAGCATTTCTGGAAACCATTTAAGCAATGTTACTAAAGCTAACATTTATCCAGGGCACAGTAGTTAAGAGCTCAGCTGCTAACCAAAAGGTCGGCAGTTAGAATCCACCAGCCGCTCTTTGGAAACCCTATGGGGCTGTTCTGCTGTGTCCTGTAGGGTCACTATGAGTCTGAATCAACTTGACGGCAACAGGTTTAGTGTTCTTTTGGGATTCCCTACCAGGCAGTGGGCCGAGTACTTTGTATGCATTACCTAGTAGGATATTTGCTTCAGGACCTTGGAAATACATGTACCCTTGAACTCAGTAACTCCGTCTTACAACTTTTACTATAAGGAAATAATTAAAGGCTGGACAGACCTTTACATGCGAAAAATATTTATCAAAACATTGTTTGCAGTAGTAAAAAATTTGAAAGATTAAAATGTCCAAATATACAGGTATGATAAAAATAAATTATCATGTATCCATGAATAGAATATTAGCTATTGAGAGAATGCTTACATAATGAGTTTCTAATGGCATGTTTATAGTAGACTGTTTGGTGAGAAGTAGCATACAGAATCACATATTAAATACAGTATAAAAGATGTAAATGTGTATTTAAAGCTGGAAGGAATTATATTAATTTTAGTAGTGTTATATCTAGGTAAAGAAATTATGGATAACTTAAATGTTATTTTTATGTCTTTTAATAGTTTTCAGATATTCTAAAATGAAGTATGTATTACTTTATCATTAGAAGATAATAGCCATTGTGTTTTGTTTTGTTTTTTAAAAAGGAAGTTCTCTAGAGCTTAAACCAATTAAATGGATTTTTTTTTTTTTACTTTATCAGTTGTATCCTGTTGGTCATCAAACCCTTTCGAACATTTTCACTTTGTGTCTTACTTATCTAGTGTTACTATAACAGAAATACCACAAGTGGATGACTTTAACAGATAGAAATTATTTTCTCACAGTTCAGGAGGCTAGAAATCCCAAATCAGGGTGACAGCTCTAAGGGAAGGCTTTGTCTCTCTCTCTGTTTGCTCTGGAGGAAGGTCCTTGTCTCTTTGAGCTTGTGCTCCTGGGCAAACTTCATGTGGCTTGGCATCTCCCTTCCCCTGTCTCTGCTTCTGCTTGCTTGTTTAATCTCTTTTCTATCTCAAAAGAAATTGACTCAAAATACACCCTACGCTTAATCCTGCCTCATTAACATAACAAAGACAACCATTCCCAAATGGGATTATAACTACAGGTATAGAGGTTAGGATTAACAACACATATTTTGGGGAGACATAATTCAATCCATAACGTTTTGAAATTTCCATTTCCCACTTGCGTTGTATTCCTGCCATCACCATTTAGTTGGGCCCTCATCACTTAGTCCACGATCAGTACAGCAGTCTTCCCTCTCTTTCTCGGTCTGCTCTTCACTCCAGCGTTCCTTCTTCCGATCTGCACTCCACCAGAGCACAGGTTCTTGATCATCGTTTTCCTGGCAGCAGTCCAGTACCTTCCTTTTGTTTATGGCCTTAAGTCTGGCTCTGTCAGACTTCCAACTTCTTCTGTTAATTGGTCTCACTGTACTTGTGTGGTTTTCTTTCTTGGACGGCTTCTCTATCAGCCTCACCATTTTTATTTTCTTCTACAGCTTTCTTTGGTACTGGGGTCCTCACTGAGACCTTATCCTGGTCACTCTCACCCAGGGGTCATTTGGCAATGTTGGGAGACATTCTTGATTGTCAGCACAGGGTGGTTAGTGGAGAGATACTACTGGTCTCTAAGAACTAGTAGAGGCGAGGAATGCTCTACAGGACATCAGACAGCCCCACAACAAAGAATTATCTGGCCCAAAAAGTCAGTGGTGCCAAGGTTGAGAAGCCTTGCTACTTTAGTCTTGCAGAACAGAACGGACTGTGCTATGACTGTATTACAGAATTGCATGATGTGTGCCCAATTTGAATGTGGTGCTGAGTGAGCATATTCTGTAGGTACTCGGTCCATGATTACTCATTCATTTGATGACTGTGTGGCTCTCTCCCACAGGGCCTGTCACCATGACTGGTGTCCACCCCCCAATGCGCTCACCTAGTGCCTCCAGCGTCGGCAGCAGAGGAAGGTAACTGACTTTATTCTCTAGTACGTGACCCCCTCTTACTGGGTTTCTCTTGCTAGTGCACAGCATGTTTGGTACTCGATACGTTTTAAACACTTTATTTTTAATTTATATATTAAATTTAATAAATTAGTTAAGAGATTAGGTAAATAAAGTACTAATTTACCTTTAAGATAGAATAATGTTTGTCTCCATGCTGATCATAAGAAAATATGATGTTTGATGGTAGCATAATAAGCTAGGGAAAAATAAAAATGAAGTAGTTGTAACACACTGCACGGTACAGAGACACTCACAGATACAAACTTCGGGGAAAAGCAAAGGAAACATAATTTTATACTAATTTGAATGTTCTCTGACTTTTATAATGATCAAACATTGGCTATATAATAAAAGAAAAAAAAATGAGTTGTTGAAATTCTAGTTTTAGTTACTGCCTTAGTTCTCCCCTCATTATACTTGAAAATGCCTGTTAGATAGTAAACTCAATTCATACTTTGCTAATCATATGGAAGGAACATTCTCCAGGGGGAAGGAATTTGCCTTTAATCCCAGGAGAACATAGTGGCCATCTACAGATGCCCCATTTCCCTCTTTAAATAGCAGCACACCAATAAATGACAGCCCTAGCTAATTGTCCTCACACTTTGATCGTGACAGCAAATCGTTACTGTGAGAGAGGGAAATGGGGAAGCCTAAAGAAGATACTAGTTTTAAAGTACTCAATCTGACTGCTCAATTTTGCAGCCCCACAATATGGAAATCGGTTTTCATTTCAATTCAGATTTTATTTAACTGTCTTTCCAGAGGTATATTGTAACTACTTAGATGGATTTATACGTAAGCATTTATTATCATGAATAGCACTTTGTTTGCATGTAGGTCTTGCATTTCAGTTATGTGTCGTTTATTGCCCATGCAGTGCAGTTCTCATTATCGTGAAGCTTTAGCGTCATTCCAGAAAGCTGTGGTTATCCTTTGTTTTCAGAGACTTTGTGTAGCACTCTCCATTTGTCTTCTGTCTTTTCGTGCAGCTCTGGTTCTTCTAGCAAACCAACAGGCGCTGATTCTACACACAAAGTCCCAGTGGTCATGTTGGAGCCGATCCGAATAAAACAAGAAAACAGTGGACCGCCACCTGAAAATTACGATTTTCCTGTTGTTATAGTGAAACAAGAATCAGATGAAGAATCCAGGCCTCAAAATGTAACTATTTACATCAATGATTATAATACTCTTCCTGTTGAGGGGTAGGATAAAACTTCTAATAGCTCTTAGTAGGTAGAAATGTTAATATTTAAAAGCAGAGAAATAGTCAACATGAGGGTTGACAGAACAGTTGAAAATGTCTCAGTAAAGTAAATGAAAGGACACAGTGATGGGAACATGAGAGAAAAGTTAAGAAAATCAGAGGCTCAAATGAGAACATTCAAAAAAGAGAATAGATAAGACAGATGGAAGATAATTGCCAAAGAAATAATACAAGAAAACTTCCCATGAGCGCCTGAATTGAAAGGACCTACCAGGTACCAAAATAATACATGAAAAATAGACTCAAGGCATAGCACCATAAATTCCAGAATGCCAGGGAAAAAGAGAAGATAGTAAATGCTTGAGGAGAAAAAAACACTTTTTATAAAGATCAGACATCATAATGGCACCAGTTCTCAACACCAACACTAGAAGCTGGAAAGTGGTAGAGAAATATCAAAATTGTGAAGAAAAAAATATCGTCTAACCAGAATTCTATACCGGGAAGGAGACATAAGATGCCCAGAGTGGGGTCTAACCCGGAAGGAGGCAAAGAGCAGGCCAGGGTGGAAGGAAGGCCAGCCCCCAGACCACAGCCGACCAGCAGGCAGTAACGAGGCCTGCACAGGGATGCCCCAAGGGGAGGAAAATGCAGTGAGAAGCATTTTACATCCCTCTTGGGGACTGTGAAAATGACTTAGAGATAGGTACCTAGAGAGAAAGCAAATGGGAAAAAATGAGGTCATATTGACTCTTAGTAAAAACAGTTACTCATAAAAGGAAATGTAGTGGTACTTCTCCGTTCTGTGATTCTGCAGTGAGCAATATTTACAGTCACAGCAGTAAATACAGATAGTCACAACTTGAATATAGATTTAACTAAAAACTGTGGTATAACCAGGATATAACTTGAATATGCATTTAACCAAACATTGGTATTTTCACAATACTTGACCAGTACAGCACAAGTACTGTGCAGCACGTATCTTTGGGGGACATAATTCAATCCGTGATGCCTGTCTCCTATTGCGATGATATTTTTCAGTAGAGGTCCTTGTCTTCTTTACCTTTGGGGACTCTAATACAGTTAGCAATAAATATCTCCTGCTCTCACGCATATTCACAGACTCCTTTGAAGCAACCAGGTGCCCATGAGAGAGCAGTCTGCAGCCCAGAATTGCCATAGCGCTAATAAAAATACCGATGAAAAAATAGGTATCTCTGTCTGCTGTTCCGTCTTTCCACTGCAGACCAGCTATCCCAGGAGCATCCTCACCTCCCTGCTCCTGAACAGCAGTCAGGGCTCTGCCTCTGAGGAGGCTGCCCCAAGGTCAGACGCTCCGGACAGCACAGGAGACCAGCCTGGACTCCACCAGGAAAGCCCCTCCAATGGCAAGTCCCAGTGGCTGGACACCGCCCAGAAGTCACCCCTCCATGTTGGAGACACGAGGAAAGAGGACGACCCCAATGAGGACTGGTGTGCAGTGTGTCAGAACGGAGGGGAGCTCCTGTGCTGTGAGAAGTGTCCCAAAGTGTTCCACCTGTCCTGCCACGTGCCCACACTGGCCAATTTCCCCAGGTAGGAACGCCGCTGCCCTCCCGCGTCCTCTCCCCGTCAGTGAGAGCAGCAGTCAGCTTCTGGAGGTGATTGGGACATAAAACCTACCTCTGCACCCTGGGCACTCTTTTAGCTCAGTACTGAAGTCACTCCCGAAGTTCACCCTTCAGCCAAAGCTTAGCCCCGTAAAACAAAACGAGACTAATGGGGCACAGCAGTCCAGGGACAAGGACTAGAAGGCAGGAGGGGACAGGAAAGCTGGTAATAGGGACAGTGTTGACATGTCGTGGGGTTGTTAACCATTGTCAGAAAACAATATGTGTACTAACTGTTTAATGAGAAGTTATTTGTTCTGTAAACCTTCATCTAAAGTACAATTAAAAAAAAAAAACCCTGCCTTTGCACCCTGCGGCCCTTCCTCCTTCTGTGCTTCTCTCCAGAAACTGCTCTGTTGTGAGCAGGGAGAAACGGCAGACCCTTTATGTTCCCACCCGGAGTTACCATAAAGAACAGTGATCCTCAGACCTAACGACCGCCGCAGCCTCTTGGATCTTACTTGCCTGGCGTTGAGCTGCATAGTCTGTAAATAATTCAGTTCTCCAGCGAACCCAGTGAGATGATGATGGTGAAGAGCCACTGGGTCGATCTCTCAGTTCTTTAACAGTTTCACTTCTTTTAAATTTCATTTCTTTTTCCTGAATCATTTGGGAAGCAGTGCCGTTGACGCCCCACATCAGCCAGAGTTTTATGTGTTATTTCTTTGCTGTACGTGTTTACTTCATACACACATTACATGCCTCTGTAACTAGACCGTAATGCTAACTGTTCAGGCCCTTGCATTACATTTCTCCTGTTCTCTCAGCATGGTGCTGTGTACATAATAGGTATGTAGTAAATACTCAGTGATTACAGTCCATGCCAGATAAATGGTGTCATAGGTGGGGTGGAGGAGATGGGGAAGGGAGGTGGTCACAAGAAACAATGCATCAGGAACTCAGCAGTGCTTGGTTCCCCTGCAGTGGAGAGTGGATTTGCACTTTCTGCCGAGACTTATCGAAACCAGAAGTGGAATACGATTGTGATGCCCCCAGTCACAACTCAGAAAAAAAGAAAAGTGAAGGTCTTGGTAGATTAATGCCAATTGATAAAAGGGTAAGTTCTCAAGCATTTCCAACCTAGAGTGTTAAACAGCTTTTCTGTTAGATGAGTGATTGTAATGCAGGTGTGCTTTTCTTCAAAGAAGTGTATGTTCAATCAAATTTCATACTGATTTCCTTTTTTATTAAAAACAAAAAATGCTATACATATATTTTACAAAAGCTTAAACTGTTGTACTTGAACACAATGGAATATGTATCTTTTATGTGGCCTGGACTTTGAATTTAGTCTCCCATGAGTAAATTTTTATTTTACTTTATTTCTACCACAGGTAAGTTTCTTCTTCAAACTTTGTTGACAGTTGGCAGCAAGGAGAGATGGGTTTTTCTATTACACTCTTCCTCAAGTTTCTTTCACCATAAGTTACTAGTTGTTACACCAAAGCCAGTTAATAGATTTAACTGTAATTAACATTTAAAGCTGCTTAGTCAATACCTCTTTATTTTTTTATTTTTTCCCATACAAAAATTTATACATACGTTGTTATGTGACCCTAATTGCTCTCCCCGTACTGTGACAGCACACTCCTCCTTTCCACCCCTGATTCTCTATGTCCATTCAACCAGCTCCTAACCCTCTCTGCCTTCCCATCTCACCTCCGGACAGGAGCTGCCCACTTAATCTCTTGTATCTACTTGAGCTGAGAGGCACACTCCTCACGAGTATCACTTTATATCCCACAGTCCAGTCCAATCCCTATCTGAAGAGTTGGCCTCGGAAATTGTTTTTGTTCTCGGGTGATAGAGAATCCAGGGGCCATGCTTTCTGGGTTCCTCCAGTCTCATTCAGACCATTAAGTCTGATCTTCTTACTAGAGTTTGAGTTCTGCACCCCACCTTTCTCCTTCTCCATCAGGGACTCTGTTGTGTTCCCTGTCAAGGGTGGTCATTGGTGGTAGCCGGGCACCATCTAGTTCTTCTGGTCTCAGGCTGATGAAGTCTCTGGTTTATGTGGCCCTTTCTGTCTCTTGGGCTAATACTTTCCTTGTGTCTTTGGTGTTCTTCATTCTCCTTTATTCCAGGTGGTTGGGACCAATTGATGCATCTTAGATGGCTGCTTGCGAGCTTTTAAGACCCCAGACGCCACTCACCAAAGTAGGATGCAGAACATTTTCTTAAGAAGCTTTGTTATGCCAGTTGACCTAGATGTCCCCTGAAAGCATGGTCCCCAGGCCCCTATCCCTGCTACTCTGTCCCTCAAAGTATTTGATTGTATTCAGGAAAGTTCTTAGCTTTGGTTTAGCCCAGTTGTGCTGACTTCCCCTGTAGTGTGTGCTGTCTTTCCCTTCACCTAAGATAATTCTTATCTACTATCTAGTTAGTGAATAACCCTCACCCTCCCTCCCCACCCTCCTAACCATCAAAGAATGTTTTCTTCTGTGTTTAAACCTTTTCTTGAGTTCTTATAATAGTGGTCTTAAACAATATTTGTCCTTCTGTAACTGACTAAATTCACTCAGCATAATGACCTCCAGCTTCCTCCATGTTATGTTTCATGGCTTCATCGTTATTCTTTATCATTGCATAGTATTCCATTGTGTGGATATACCATAATTTGTTTATCTCTTCATCCGTTGATGGGCACCTAGGTTGTTTCCATCTTTTTGCTATTGTGAACAGTGCTGCAGTGAACATAGGTGTGCATATATCTATTCATGTTACGGCTCTTATTTCTCTAGGATATATTCCATGGAGCAGGATAGCTGGATCATATGGTACTTCTATTTCTAGCTTTTTAAGGAAGCACCACATCAATTTCCAAAGTGGTTATACCATTTTACATTCCCACCAACAGTGTATAAGTGTTCCAGTCTCTCTGTAACCTCTCCAGCATTTATTATTTTGTGTTTTTTGGATTAATGCTAGCCTTGTTGGGTTGAGAGGATATCTCATTGTAGTTTTGATCTGCATTTCTCTAATGGCTAATGATCGTGCGCATTTCTTCATGTGTCTGTTAGCCACCTGAATATCTTCTTTGGCGAAGTGCCTCTTCATATCCTTCGCCCGTTTTTTTAACCGGGTTATTCGTCTTTTTCTTGTTGAGGTTTTGCAGTATCTTACAGATTTCAGAGATTAGACGCTGATCGGATTTGTCGTAGCCAAAAATTTTTTCCCAGTCTGTAGGTTGTCTTTTTACTCTTTTGGTGAAGCCTTTGATGAGCATAAGTGTTTGATTTTTAGGAGCTCCCGTTTATCTAGTCTCTCTTCTGGTGCTTGTGCATTGTTACTTATGGTTCGTATTGTGTTTATGCCCTGTATTAGGGCTCCTAGCATTGTCCCTATTTTTTCTTCCATGATCTTTATCGTTTTTGATTTTACATTTAAGTTTTTGATCTATTTTGAGTTAGTTTTTGTGCATGTTGTGAGGTATGGTCTTCTTTCAGTTTTTTGCAGATGGATATCCAGTTATGCCAGCACCATTTGTTAAAGAGACTGTCTTTTCCCCAGTTAACGGACTTTGGGCCTTTGTCAGATATCAGCTGCTCATAGGTGGATGAATTTATGTCTGGATTCTCAATTCTGTTCCATTGGTCTATGTATCTGTTGTTGTACCAGTACCAGGCGTTTTGACTACTGTGGCGGTATAAGAGGTTCTCAGATCAGGTAGTATGAGGCTTCCCACTTTGTTCTTCTTCTTGAGTAATGCTTTACTTATTCGGGGCCTCTTCCCTTTCCATATGAAGTTGATGATTTGTTTCTCCATCTCATTAAAAAATGCCAGTGGAATTGGTTTCGGAATTGCATTGTATCCATAGATCACTTTGGGTAGAATTGACATTTTCAAAAATATTGAGTCTACCTATCCATGAGCAAGGTTTGTTTTCCCACTTATGCAGGTCTCTTTTGGTTTCTTGCAGTAGTGTCTTGTAGTTTTCATTGTATAGGTCTTTTACATCTTTGGTTAGATTTATTCCTAAGTATTTTATCTTCTTGGGGGCTATTGTAAATGGTATTGATTTGGTGATTTCCTCTTCGAGGTTCTCTTTGTTGGTGTAAAG